ATCATTGCGCAATTCTGTCACCATGTCGCGGATAGAAGCATCTTTGGCGTCATCATCGAAACTAAAAGACAAAAAATCAGATGTGAGTCATGGTAGTACAAAAGACACCAACAGCCACCCATCAATCTGGTTGAAACTGCAAGCGTTCATGTGCGTCACCCTTCTAATGGCACTGATTTTATTAGTCAATCTTGGAGGAATCTACGTTCTCTTCAATCCCGGATCTTCCAGAAGCAAGATGATGATTTATTTTTTAATGCTCTATGCATCAATTCGGCTGCTAACACCTGGGGGAGCCATTCATTCCGAGAAGCAACCCGAAGGTGGGGTCTGGAGAGCCTTTAGCGAACGATATTTTTTCCTCTCGTCCATTCATCGCCGGTATCTAAACCTTTCATTTGCTAAGCCCCTGCCCAAGGAGCTGGTGGAGGCCGAATCCCGATCCAACGCCCAGTTCATCCTGGCGGCGTTTCCTCACGGATGTAATTCAGACTTCCGTGTATTGATGGACGGAATCATTAACGAGACCTTTCCTAATCTACTGAAGAGAAACAAGATTCGGGCGCTAGCGGCCTCGATCTTGTTCTGGATTCCCGTAGTGAGAGAAATATCGTTGTGGACCGGCTGCATCGATGCTTCCCGCCCGGTAGCCAAGGCTGCTCTGGATCAGGGCAAATCGTTACTGATTCTACCCGGAGGTGAGGCGGAGCAAATACGTACTGTGTATGGAAGGGAAATCATCTACCTAAAGAATCGCAAGGGATTTATCAAATTGGCGCTTGTACACGGGGTGCCGATTGTTCCCATGTACGTATTTGGATGCAGCGATTCGTATTATACATACAATTGGATGGCTCAACGCTTCCGACTCTGGCTTGTCAAAAACCTTGGGATATGCATTACCCCCTGCAGTGGGCTGTGGGGGAATCCATTTTGCCCTTTGCCAAAAACCACCACCATTGTGATGGGCAAACCGATTCGTTTCGAATTTGTCTTGGAACAAGACAATCTCAATGAATCGTGTATAGATACATCTATCAGCAAGCAAACACCGACAAAGGAAGAAGTGGACAGAGCCCATGCAGTGTTTATCAGAGAACTCACAGCTTTGTTTGACGCTCACAAGACTGCTCTGGGGTACGGGGATCGGACGCTAGAAATCGTCTGATCACGTCCATGAACAACCAAAATCGAACTTATCAAGCTTCGAAACAATGATTTTGAGTAGACTAGACATGAATAGCATATCGATAGTCTTAATAAATAACAATTTTGCAAAATGGATTCATTTAACTTTTGCTTTGTTTTTGTCGGTGCGTTTAAGCAACGAGAACATTCTTAACACCCACTTTGTTGCATCCATTCACCTGCACAATTATGTATGCATGTCCCTTCCTCGAGTTCTTGAGTGCGGGTATCTTTGGGCGGATAGGATCATAAAGTTTGCTTCAAGTGTGATTTGCAATAGGTTTCGCCAGCCTGCTTTTGATCGGAATCAATTTTTCCTCTTTCATGCCATTTATTGGGCAATAGATCTMTGTTGCTTGGTTTGAATTGCACAAAGGAACTTTCTGGATCTCCAGATATAAGCTGTTCAATCGAGTAAGCCTGATTGTTTATTGAACAGCAAGCCAAATGCTTAAGTGAATCGAGAAATCGACACTGCGTATCATCTCATGAACTTGATTAGACCGAGTCCTGTAAATTCAGAGCCATTACCAAATCGGATTGCGAGATTTCTTGAATTTTGTTTCTTTCGATGTGGCAATTCCGTGAATGATTCTTTTGAAAAACCACATACTCTCCTCTATCGGTTTCTGCTTCACCTTTCAAATCTAGACGAATCTGACTCATTGCAGTGATGTTATGGAAGACAMTCGATTTTATGCTTCGAAGCTTCAAATATACCAATAGATACTGCGCAAGTCAAATTCTTTCCCTTTGACTCTCCATAACTGTCATCGACAGCCTAGTACAAGTCAACCTCTATCGACCACCAGCGATATCTTATCGCTTTGTTATAGTACCGTACATCTTGTTGACAAAATAAGTCATCCTTGTCGGTTCAACGAACGAGGGGAATCCGAATGCGCGATTTCTGTTATTGACAATCACGCCGAATGCATCGTGCGATGCTCGTTCTCAACGAAGCGAGATGGAATACAGTAAGACTTTTCGGGAAGAAAAATATTTTCCACATCCTGTGAAGAAGAGCTTAAGTCGACCTTCATATTGTGTTTGTTTAATGTTCAGGATTACTTTTAATGTTCAGGATTACTTTTAATGTTCAGGATACCTACCTTTGTTTAAAATCAATTCTTGGTTGTTCAACAGGGCACTACATAAAGTAGGGCAATAATCACATAAATTTTTTTTTAATAATATTTACACAACATAAAGAAATGCGAATTTTACTTAATGCATTTTTCTGTATATACCATTTCCTTGAAATTCCTTAGACCCTCAATTAATAATTCTGGCTAGACCCTGACGTTTAAATAAAACAAAAACCAAAACTTCGAAAAGATTGCGTTTCAAATTCTTCCCAGCCTTTTCACGAGAAGTGCAGTATTAATGTACCGGGTACTGTACCRCTACGCTAGGTGATCATCTTTCTGGAAGCTATGTCATAAAAGATGAATCGACCTTAAAAATCGTTGAAAGTTTTACTGTACGGTATTGTACTCTAGGTAGATATGAGTAAAGTACGTAGTACTTCGTACAAGATACGATATGCAGGTATTCAAAATTACTAGTAATTTTGTATGAACATCCTGTCGTTTTACCGTATTTTGCCGTACCGTACGAGGACTCTTCCAAGATAATAGGTACGTACGGTACGTACGGAATATAGTTCAGACTCCAGACATCTTATTATCGTATGTATCTACGGTACGTAGTATACTTTTGTAGTAACGATACACGAAACGGCTCTTTCCTTGATACTTCATACCGTACCGTACGGCAGGGGTCTAAATTATGTACCCTGCCGTACGTATGGTACGTACCGTGCACTTGATCGTTTTTGTACTGACGATAAAATTACAAGTCATCGAAAACAAAAACTACGGTACTGTGATACCTGTAAGTAGGAGATAATCATCCTCCTTGTAGCAAGCAGAACTCAACTCTAAACTAAGTTCGAGTACTTCAGTACCTTACGTACTTCATGTTTTTTTTWAAAAATGATATTATAATGGCGGATGATAAAAGGATGAAAAACCGCATTGGATGCTATCTCGTCATCAGAATACTAACTAGTAGTGAGTGCATGCATTGCATAAGAATAGAAGTTGGTTTGAAACTGCTGCGGCTTGCTCTGTCAAACCAACATTACAGATACCCCGTAGGAGTACTACATCCCGTTACGACGCTTGTCAACGCATTACCGAACTGGCTAAACCGTTCAAACAGCGAGTCCCCTTGCTGTCTAAGTTCAAGTTTCAGATGAGGAAGATCGTGCTTGTATTGTTCGGCCCAATCCTTTGGCACGAGACGCCGACGCCGGCTTCTCCGACTGTGTTCTTCGTTCTCGTCGCTCATGTTCTCGTCGACTAGATCCTTGAGCCACCGGCGGAGCATTCTTACCTTCCGGATCTGGAGTGGGGGAAGGCAATTGTTGGCCGCCCGAGCTTTTCGAAGAAAATCTAGGAAGTCGATGTCGGCCATGAGATAGAAATCGTCGAGGGTTCGAGCGTCGTATGCCGCCAAGAGCACCCGCGTGTTGCCATCGAGATTGATTCCGTCGGCCAGGACTTGCATGTCCTTGCCCAATTGATACCGTGCACTCTTAGTTAAGCTGGAATCGTCGCGTTGTTCTGGTTCGCTGAAGGTCTCGCAGCTGCCGTCAAATTGACCGGTTCTGGCCGAGGGCGAAACCGACCGATAGGTGTTGCGGATGTTTGATAGAGAATGCGATCTGATGGTGGACCGCATAGCAGAAGGAGAGCAAGATCGAGCCACGGATCTGCCTCTGCTGCGAACGCTATTATCTCTTCCACGTGTTGCTGTTGCTGTAGATTTCCTTCGTAGTTGCAGTGGGTCGGCGCTTCGACTCCTCGGCGGTTTCCCGATGCTAGCGAAAAGGGGTGGACCATCACTTGTTTCGGGCTGCTCGCGACCACGCGCATGTTGACTAAGACGTCTGCCTCGAGAAGTTCGTATTCGGGATGTCAAGAAATTTATGCTGCTGCCGTTGCTACTGCTATTGCAGGTGCTGGTGTTGCTCGTGGGGTTGTTGCTGGTGTTGCTGGTCGCCGTGTTGAAATCGATATTGCTGATAATAGTCCTTTTGTCGCTAGAAGACGGGAAACCCTCCTCGTCGAGCTGTACTCCGGGAAAATCATCGAACATCGAATTGTAGTCATAGGTTGTTCTGTTTCCCCTCTTACTGAGCGATGGCAACTTTCTCAAGGTTTTCCTCATTGTTGATGGATAGTATGGCTGTGTGTGAACTTCGGGTATGTCGTAATCTCACTAAGTTGTTGGTAGTATGTTCCTTCGATAAATTTATTCCACAGAGCCTTTTGTGATTTCTGCCAGAGAAAGACGACCTTGCCTCAAGAACGTTCCTGTGGGTACGAGAACGACTACGCGTTCCGTTTGCATCTCTGCCTGGACTGTTTGCGTGACACTCCAAAGGTCGTCACTACTGCAATTTGTAAGAGGACACTTATATGCCTTGGTGGCAATGTAAGGAATTCTAGCGATGGTGTATCGTACGAACCGGTAGTATTCCGTATTCCGTACCGGTGCGCGTGCCATCGAAAAAATGTAATGAACCGGAAACAGCGATAATGTGATTCGAACACCCAATCGGCGATAAAGCGATCCCCCCCGGCGCGGCCCGCAAGGCCTTTTCGGACGTCACGCTCATACGATGATATCGCACCTGTACAAATGATACTCAGTATCGAAGTATGTAAGGCCACGTACTATCTCACGTACGGTACACCGCTTGTGATCCAAAAATCAAAAAATACCGGTATGTTCTTTTCTCATCATTCCCTCTTTACTGTAAATCTCTCGGATCAATATCGTACGTATCATACATAAGTACAGTATCCTGGAAAAATAGTTTTCGGGATCTTGGGAGTCGAATAATCGAAAAATAAAATAAAAAATAACAGTATCCATTTTTTCTTATTTCTATCTCAGGTCAAACAAAACAGTACAAATACGTACGGTACGATACGGTACAAAGTACAAAACCGGTTTTCGTGAGGCGTAATCGTAATGGTATCGTATCGTACGAGTCATACCTATGGTGTCATACAGTCATATCATACAGTATCATAAGAAGTACTTGTAAGAAGTACGTGACTACGTACGTAGTTGCTCTTAGTCTAGTTCGTTTTGGAGGTTGGAGGACTGATTCAATGAAAATGATTTTTGATTTTCGGTTTCTGAGATGACGCCACAACAAAAAACCTTCTCGGAAACAGAAACAACTCGAAGCTTCTTGTGACATCCGATAGCACATTAGCATGACATAGGATGGCGGTACTACCAATACAGCACCGCAACCTCTCTCGCTTCTTTTCTCTGGCCTTCTTTTCTCTGTGGGAACTATCTCAAATCACAGCAGCATTCGCTATGCGTTCTGCAACATCCATCTCTGCTGCAGCACGCCAAAGCTGCTGCAACGACAAGGGCGCCATCCCACTGACCTTCCGAGAGACCAATGTGGCCCCGTCGTTGGTACCTTCCAACAGCACGGACGGTTCTTCGCCACCCATACTCTTCCTCCATGGTTTGGATTCGTCGGCACAGACATGGAAGGGCGTCCTCGACAGCCTGCAAGCAGACTACCGGGCGGTGGCACTGGACCAGCGAGGCTGTGGCCGGTCTCCCCTCGGGGATCCGACCGAGTTCTCCCCCGGTGCGCTCGTGGAGGACATTTACGCATTTCTGGGTACGCATCCCTATTTTCGTGCCCCGGTCGAACCCGGCGGCGGCGACGAAAATCCGGCACCACCAACCATTCGCCCCTTTGTGTTGGTGGGACATTCCATGGGAGGAAGGGTCGCCATGTCCTTTGCGGCGACCCATCCCGAACTGGTTCTGGCGCTGGTCGTAGAGGACATGGACATCCGGAGCCGCCCCTTGTCCGAGAGCCGCGTCCAGTCGAAGGACCATGCGTCTACCCTGTCTTTTGATCGAGCCCTGGGACGACGGGGGATCCAAACGAAGGASGAAATCCTAAAACTCTTTTGCGAGAGAGAGGGATATCCTTCTTCGCAGGTGGAAAAATGGCTCACCCCGCAAGACGAGCGGATCGAGGGGGTGGGTACCGGGGAGTGCTACAGCCAGGTCCACCCGGCCTTTCGKCTGCTGTGCTACCAGCAGTTTTTCGAGACGGACCACGGGAAGGTTGTCTGGGAGGCGCTGGCGGGGGCCGGAGGGGGTGCTTCTTCCCCGTTTCCGATCCACCTCTTGGTCGCCGATCCCACCGCGACCATATGCGACGACGCCAGCCTCGCGGCCATGGCCACCGCGATGGGGACGACGGTGGCCGATGCGGACGCGCCTGTGCTTTCGCCGCCGTCTCGACGGCTGGCCATCCGTCGCTACCGGGGTGCGACGCACAGCATACACAATTCCAGGCCGGACGAGTTTTTGACCGATCTAAGAGCCATCGTCGAAAGGGCCGCCACCCGCCGCTCCGAAGCATAAATCGCCGAAACGAAAAGCCGAGCCACGGCTGCTAGCAAGATGCTAGCGTGTAGTATTTTAGTGCAGCAGGATTTTCTTCGTGTGATGGGTAACCTTGTGATTGGTGTAAGCTCATGTATACCGATGTCCTTGTCAAAATTGTTGCGGGTGTAATCGGATCCGGATCTCGTATTCGTGCTGGATCAATCATCGTTACCAGAAGAATATCCAACAACGAAGTACGTACTGTGGAAGGTGGATAAGTGGTGACGTGCAGTGTTCAACATGCCATGCTGTATTCGTGCATTCCACCATTCCTTTCTTGATTGATTCTAGTTGCTACAGGTACTTTTAAGTTCGTTACAACCGTTTTGTAGCTCTTGTAAATGCTATGCACCAACGGAAAGGAATGCCAATTCCACAGCAGGACCATATCGGAGTATGATTTGTTTGGTAGTTTGACAGTATATAAGCATATGACGTATCACAAAGTTATGGTGGCACTACCACCATGATAAGTGTGAACACCCATAGCTGAGAGAAGTTACCGACAAAAACCCAGAACTTGTGCGCCCACACGAATGCAACATAGGAGTATTGACGGCCAAGAACGAATTTTCTTGCTGACAGGTTTTACAGTTACAACTAAAAAAAGTAGAGTGTCTCAGGTCTGTATTACTAGTACTAGCAATTCCTCAAAAGCTCAAACTAGTAGTATTGTGAAATTGTGATTAGCGCACAACCTGTCTAGTTCATGATGGCAATGCGGACGCCCCTGTCATTTACACTAGTAGTACTAGTACTAGCATCACACAGCAGCATCAAGAATGCTTCGGCTCGCAGCAGGTCTTCGACGCATTCTCCAAAAACCAAAAACCGACGACACATTCGGCTGGCACTGTTCCACTGTTTGTCGGAATCTTCTGTGTCTCTTGCAACCAAGCCTAAGCCTACGGTACCTCGCTGGTTTGCAATTTTCCGCACGACCAAAATTTTGGGTTGGGTCCGCTCGTTTCGAGGAGACCAAAAGTACTCGTACGTACGTACGTACGTATGTACGTCCGGGATTACGGACACAATTTTTTGTGGCAGACGGATCGTACTTTCTATCAATTTTTTGTGATGTCATTGCCGTCTCTTAAAGGACGATAGTACCTAACGCACGGTGCCATATATGACCTTGCTTGCTCGTGCCAACGAGGATACGGTGCTTAGGTCTCGAAACAGATGTCGAGGAAACCAACGGACCGCGGCACTCCAAACGTAGTTTTTTCGAGRTGCTTGAAGAGTTCTAGGCGACGGCTTGCATCGTACTTGTATATGCCTTCGGAAGCCTCKKAACGAGCCGGGCAGCACCCCACAAAAATGCGCGACCGACCCGCTCGTTCCCGCAAAMCGCGGTYGGGAAGRCCGTTAGAAAGACGTTTGGAKAATTCTTGGGGCCSTATTTCTCCYACTGTWCGGTACTGTAATGCGTTTGTGTTCCCCATCTCTCTCCCGTCCCATTGGCACCGCGAAACGCGTGCACGGAACGGATGCCACCGCCGGGAGGGCCCGCACACGATTGACCCCGTAGCGACGCGTACGCAGGGTGCCGTCTCGCACGATGTTTCATGTGCTTCCCCGGCCCATCGGCGAACAACCCAACCGCAATCTTGTCTTCCGCACCGGTTCCTCCCAGGAGCTACACCATCAAGCGGTCCTCTGTCCCTTCTCGTCACCCGGTCGAACGAACGGAAACGATTTGGAAACCGCGTACCCGGGAAACACCGCGAACGAAGGCAACAAAGGAAACCTACAATTCCAATCCAGTCCAATCCGATTCCCACCTAGCGCAAACGAGCATCGCATCCGTTCGGAGATCCATCGTGGCGGTGCAGTGTGGCAAACAAGCGAAGCACGCAAAACCAAAGAACCGCAACGAGAAACAAGACAGGGATCGATCGATCGATCCAATCCAATCGAATCCAATCCAATCCAACCCAGACGGAGAGGCTTTCCTTTGGTTCCGAGTGGCACCGCTGCAGAAGTGACGCTGCGAATCGAAGCACGAGGTATTGCAGGAAGACGGCGACACCGGGCAAGAAAGGCTCCGAAGCGAAAGCTGCCGCGCGATTGACGAGGCAGGAGCGAGAAGCAAGAGAAGCAGCAACAACAGCAACAGCAACAGCAACAGCAATAGCATTAGCTACAAAAGCAGCAGCAACCCCCATTGCTCACCCACCCTTCCCTCGATTTCCGCAACAATGGCAAGCATCGGAAGCAACAGCAACTACCACACGCCCGAGAAGGCACGCTCGGTGGCAAGCAGCCGGGAGGACAGAAGGAAGGGCAAGCACAGCAAGGACAGGCGCAAAGAGAAGCAAAAGGACACGGAGAAGACCGGCTCGGTAGGATCCCCCCTCTCCATCATCGAGCAGTGGCAGAAGGACGCGAGGGGAGCCGTCGAGGACGCCTATGCGAACTACGTCCTCGGGGACGACACGGGAGAATCGGCCAGGCTGGTCCTGGTGGCCAGTCCCGCGGACGACCTGGCGCTTCTCGAGAACTCGGGCCAGGGGAAGCACCCGCCCCACATTCTTCTGAACGACGGCAAGGGCAGCGGCAACGGCAACAAGAACAACTCTAATTCGTGTTCGAATTCGAATTCGAACAATAATTCCAACCACCACAACAACAGCCTGCTCCTCCTCTCCCACCGCGAGTACTACACGGACGTCAACCGGCAGAACTCCCTCCTCTTTGGGCGCAGGGCCCACAACAAGCACGACCCCCACGCGGCCAGCTTTGCCTCGTGCGGGGTCACCTTTGTAGAGATCAACGGCAGGGCCTACGTGCACGCCCTGGACGAGCACTCGGAGGCCTACCGATCGGGGGTCCGGCCGAAGGACTGCGTGCAGTACGCCGCCGTGCTGGCCAAGGAGTGGGAGGACCCCCTGGGGGCGGACTTTGATCCCATCTCCTCGCAGGCCATGGACCGGGAGGAATCGGGCCAGAGGATCACCTACGAGGAGCTCAAGCGGGTCTTTCTGCAGGGCTCGGGCATCCTGGGGGACCTCAACTGCCACGGGAGCGACGCCGGCTACCCGGTKCCGGGGGATCCCGACCAGGAGTTTTACCACCGCCACCGGTCGGCCTCYGGGAACGTGGTGATGGGGCCCGCGGGGAGCGTCTCTTCTCCCCAGGGCTTTGTGCCGCCCCTGCCCACGACGATCCGGATCGCCGCCAAGAATCCCTGCGGGGCCCTCCTGCAGCAGGAAACGAACACGGACCCCGGGGACGAGTCCCTCAMCGGAAGCATCGTCAAGAAGGACCGCAACCGCAGTTCCGGACCGATCGAGCCCAGTCCGGTGGTCCTCGTCTTTCGGCGGACCCGCCAGCGGCCTCCCAGGGCCTGGAACATGTGGCCGAACTACCGCCTCGACGACGAATGCGAGATGGCCTGCCAGATCCTCGAGTCCCTCACGGTGGCGCAGCGCCCCGGGGGCAGCAGCAGCAACGGCAAAAGCAGCGGCAAAAGCAACGGCAGCAGCAGCAACAGCAACAGAAGCACCTCGGGCGAGACATCGTCCAGCACGGCCCGGGTCCTCTTTAGCACGGACGGAAACGGGGGATTCGCCGACGGCGGGAGCCTCGCCGACGACGAGGCGTCGGGCGTCGAGGCCTCGACCCTGAGGGGGATGGTGGCCAAGAGCGTYGGACTGGCCTTTGTTCGGTCCAACAAGGTCGTCTTTGGGGTCTCCCTCCACGGGGGGTCCGGGATCGTGCTGGCCCGCCTCTCGGACGGGACCTGGTCCGCCCCCTCGCTCATTGGCATGGGAGGCGTCGGCCTGGGCCTCCAGGTCGGACTGGAGGTTGCCAGCTACATTTTTGTCCTGCAGACCAKGGAGGCCCTCGAGCACTTTTCCCGGGGGGGATCCTTCACCCTGGGGGCCAACGTCGGGGCCGCCCTGGCCAGCATGGGCCGGGAGGCCATCGGGGCCGCCTCCGTCTCGGGGGCCCTCTGCGGGATCGCCCAGCMGATCCAGGCCATCAAGGAGGACGAGTACAACTTTGAGGAGGACGAGGAGGACCCCGACTACGAGGCGGACACCGAGAAGGGGGTGTCGGGCACGGGCCGGGCCTTCCGGAGGCGCAAGGGGGAGACCCCCTGCCACCCCGGGGGGGGCTGCCACGGGCCCTTTCCCCCGTCCACCGGCTGCGCCGGGGAGTGCTCGGGCCTGGCCAGGGCCCCGGCGAGGGCCCTCGAGGCCGGCACCGTCGGTGGCCTGGCCCCGGTGGTGGCCTAYGCAACCTCMAAGGGCCTYTACGTCGGGGTCTCCCTCGAGGGGAGCCGCCTCTTTGCCCGCCAGGAGGCGAACGCCCGGGCCTACAAGTACGAGAGCTACAACCACAAGGCGGTCACGGCCCGGGACATTTTGACGGGAAAGATCGCCGAGAGGCCCCCCGAGGCCGAGCCCCTCTACGCCCTCYTGCACGCCATYGAGCTGGCCCACGACTGGTCTTYGCTCCTTCCGCTGCCSGAGGGGGAGGGTGCCYGGACCSTGCCCTGGGAGTCGTCCGCTCYKCCCGTTTCCCCGGCTTGGGAMRCCCGAGAGAAGAACGAGAMRGAGGAAACCGRGGGGGACGAGCCCGGTCCGGAGGACTTTGCGGACAGGTTCCGTTCCTTTTTGTTCGGGGGCATCACCGTCACCCGCCTYTCCCGGAACCGCAAGCGGGAGCAGCGGACCCTGTGGCTCAGCTCCCCCGCCCCGGCGGAAGAGGCGGCCCCCTTGCATCCRCAACACCCYGCGCAGAAGGCCGCCARGGACAGCGAGGCCGAGCGGGGGTCCCTCCGGGTCGGCTTTGTCTCGAAGCTCTACCCGGCCACGGCCCAGCGCAAGCACCTGAGCGCCTCCCTCATCAACGACGTCAAGGAGACGGGGGTCGGCGGCCACGCCGCCGGGGGGAGCGTCGTGTCGGACACGGAGGGACTGGACGAGCTGACGCTGGATTCGGCGCTGCTGGTGAGTGGTGTTGTGCTGTGTTGTGTTGTGTTGTGTTGTGTTGTGCTGTTCTGTGCTGTTCTGTTCTGTTCTGTCGCGCCGCGTCGCGCAATGTCGTCTTGTATCGTTTTGGTTTGGCTTCGTTTGGCTTGGCTTGGCTTGGCTTGTTGGTTTTATATTTGTTTGGTTTGGTGTTTGGAGTGTATTTTGGAGCGATTCTGTGCGATGGTTGTTCCATGCTCGAAACACTTGCTGATTCTCTTGCGTTGCTTTTTTTTTTCCAATGTTTTTAAATATTCGGTCAGGACAACCAATCCCTGCTGACCACGACGGGCACCCTGCAAGAACGAGTCGAGCTATCCAAGAAATTGTCGATGGATCTGGTGGACGTCCTTTCYCTGACGCAATCGCCACCCCCCGACATTCGATTGGAAGATCCCTCGGAACGCAACCGAATCGTCTGCCTGGAATCCGCRGACGGCACCAGGCTCGTCTTTGTCGGAAAGACGGTCGAAGAAACCCGCTTGCTGTATTGCGGACTGAAAATACTTCTCGAGAAGGAGACGGCCCGGRTGGGCATCCGCGGTGGACAACAGAGCAGGTCGAGCAAAAAGAACCGKGTCATTGCGAGCGCGCTCAGAAACGGAAAGACGCCACCGTCGRCGGCGTCCAAGTTCCAGAGCAGGCCAAAACACACCGGTAGCAACAGCAGCGGCAACAACAACGGATCGGGTTACGCGAGCTCGGACATTGACGACACCGACGAGGGCATGAACGATCCGTCGGAMTACTACAACGCATCGGTCACCGCCGCCTTTCGGGACTCGCTGCCACAGGGATGGAAGTCCTGGGGGCGGGTTCCCGGACGATCCTACATGCGGGCCCAGTCGACCTCGCCCGACGACGGATACCCGACCTACGCCCACGGCCAGCTACTGATTCGCGACATTTGCAAGAAGGTGATTCTTCCCCTTCCACTGCCCCTCTGCCGGGTGTTGCTGCTGGACAGCTCCTCGCCCGTCGTTTCCAAGTGGGAGACGGAACGGGGGGATTCCGATTTCGAGAGGACCCCGTGGACCTTTCCGCCAGCGACCCCCCGGGAGATGGAGCAGTTCCAGTCCGAGCACCAGCTGATTGCCTCTGGTAGCATGTGCGGGGCCCACCGGACCATTTCCTACGAGCGGTTCCGAAACGGCCGGCCGGTCCGCCTCTCCGAGACCCACATTGTCGATTCGGACGACTCGGACAAGCTCGCCTTTCAGGTCAACGAGCGCCTCCCGAGGCGGGGCTTTTCCATCAAGGTGAACATTTTGCTCCGGGCGATCGAGAACGGAAGCGCATGCGAGGCTACCGTCCTGGGAGAAATCCGGCCGGTGGGAAAGAACATGTCCGATCCGGAGGCGGTGCACAAGGCCCTGCTGAAGGTCCTGGAAGAGCTGAGGAACCGATACGGAACGGACTACGTCGGCCTCATGGCGGGATTCATGAGCGTGGTGGAAAACATGCCCAAGGACGAGACGAAGCAGAGCCGGAGTCGGGGAAGCTTTTCCTCGTCCTGGAGAAGCGGCTGGGAGGAAAAGAAGGAAGACGGAGGAGGCGCCAAGAAAATCCTCGGAAAAACGAGCGTGGTCAAGTTCGAGGACGTTATGAATGCGGACGTGGGCATTGCGGACCTCCCGGATCCGAGGTTTGCCCAGGAGASCAGGCCGAGCAACAGGAGCGCCGACGACTACAAGAACCGGAAGCCCAAGCCACGGTCCRCCCCCGGAGACGACAACACCTTTGCGAGCACCTCGGATCCGGTGACGATCGAGGTCAAGCCCCTGCCCAAGATCCGGCTCAGCCTGATGCCGTCCCCCCGGGAGGAAGACGAGGAAAACCTGGACGACGAAGGAGAACCCAAGAGCAAACCAAAGACCTCCTCGAGCAGCAGAAAGTCCAGGTCGTCCGCATCGAAGAAGCGATCCCTGCTGAAAAAGAAGAAGGGCACGAAACGAGAAATCTAGAACCGGCCCGTTCGGAACGAGCGAGCCGGGAACGACACTGGACCGGTGGTCGTGGACCGGTCGGTGAGTCGTGATCGAAGAAGCGATCCTTTCCGTGAAAGAGAAAGAGCACGGAACGAGAAACAAAAAAAAACAAGCATTGGCTTGTGGACCGTTTCTTGTGCACCAACCCGTTGCACAACGAATGGAAACGAATAAACGTTAGAGAGCACCATGTGATGTGTATATATGCATATGAAAAATATATATGATAGAATAYATGAAACGAGATCGACGAACGGATCGAMCTATAAAGTTATAATCCAAAACAGTACAACAAGTTGTCAAATCRTCGCTGCTATGTTCCAGAAGCTGGTYCGCATTGGATGCCGTGTTCGTTGCAAACAATGTCTGCTGCGTCGAAAACACGGGCGAGAGCACGCTGCTAGTAGTAGCTAGCCGTCGCAATCCTTTAGCGCTGGCAGCACTGTTTTTCGGCACGAAATGACCTCGGCTGGAATTTGAAAAAGCAACTCTGGCAGCTGTTGTTGTTCTTGTCGTCGTTGTTGTTATTGTTGTTGCATGTTCCTTATCCTTCACCATCCAGCAGAGGAGCATTCATTGTAACTGTTATTGAAATACTACAGAAATCCAAACAAATAGCATACCGAATGGTTTATGGTTTTGCACAACTACTACAAGTACGTACGTACGTTCGTACGCTACTACTATTCCTCTTCATACTTTAGTTTGTACGTGTACGTAGTACGTAACGTAAGGAGATTATCTATTAAGAGTACATAAGGATATGTATCTGAAGACGAAGAACTTGCGATTTTTTTAAAACCAATAGCCAACCAGCTCATGGTTCGTACCGTACGGTACTACGGTACGGTAGGATGGACAGACAAACGAAGGATGTCGTTCCTGTTCTTTACGAGTGGTACAGAATCGTACGTAGTGCGCAGGCGACGTTCATCGCTCCCTCTCTCTCTAAACAAAAGAGCTTCCAAAGCCCCCACCGGTTCTCTCAAGGAGTTTTTTCGTGCGTAATTCTTACCGTTGGTATCAATATATATTTAAATGTTACTCCGCTCCAAAATAATTAATGTGCTGTCATGTTTGGTCATTTTTGTCATTGTCGGTGTCGCCATTTGTTTAGGGAGTTGTCCCCAGCTTCGAAAAGGGATTGACGTTCCGTGGAACAGCCCGGCGCACCCGGATGTTCGTACGGGAAACCCCATTCGGCGGCAATGTTTTTTCGAATCACCAATGAACGACCGACACCGTTCGTGGAACACGAAAGGAAGAGAAGCAGCCGGGCCTCCCTCCGGAAGTTACCGCGTTCCATGCGCGATTTCAAGCGCCAAACCTCGAGAGCCATAAATACCACGGGACGTCCCTCCGCAAAAGAAGAATGCGTGGTATTCCACGTGCGATTTTCTTTCCTTCAACTGCCGTTGCGATTCAGGGAATCTTGGTTTCAATCGGAAGAGACGTGTCACAGTTTTCATGGGTGAGAATTGGGGATTAGCACGGAGCGTATCGTTTCGGTTTTAGATGAGAATATTTAGTTTTAGCAATAGTTTGATGCCATCTGCGCTGCYAAGATGTTGTCTCCACTTTTGTTATTCCTGGGGGACATCTCCCAAACTACCAGCACCTCMATCGGCAGAATACACCCCAGTTCCTTAAATTTTATGGTTCCTTTGTMCTTGCTTCCTTTATCGGGGCAGGAAACATCAACGGACGCCATGGCCAAGGCACTACTAATTTGATGGATTCCGCAACAGCATACCGGGAGCCCTTATGTACCGCACCTTCCTTCCACGAGTTCGCAGAGCACCGGCAAAACACTCCATTAGCGTCTCCTATTCTACAACCTACCGTCCCTAAGCGTACAAGCACGGCACCATCGAGGCAAAAAGCCTTAAAAACCAAGGAACTTGCAATCGTTGATCCCTTCTGTCTCGCATTGTACCGTACCCTTCAGTGCAGCCAACGAAACGAAACGAAACGCAACGCAACGCAACGCAAACCGAAGGGGTGAGTACAGTTTTCCCTTGTCGCAGAGCACCCGCACCGCACCGCACCGCACCGCACAACGAAAATACACACGCCTTAAAAATACATACTTCTTGATTCTTTCGTTTGGAAAGAAGAAAGGAAGACGGTACCCGACTTTGGCGCAGTACCTTTAAATTTTKAACGAGTGCATTACATTCTGTACCGTKGACCAAGGGTTCTCTCGGCGCAGTCGTGGCATCATACTTTGACATTCATACTASATCCTCCGTCACCAAAGAACAAGCATCMCGAACAKCACTTTGAAYACTTATAACGCAATTCAATCMASGAAGAACACGTGACAGTATGGTTTCCACACAATTMAACCACCACAACAGGGTCGGCACCGGCGGGAGTTGCACTGGAAGCAAGAATGGCTGCGCAAACATCACCATCAACGTTCCGGGCAGCTACAACAACACGAGCAATCACCAGAACAGCGGAGGCAACGGCAACAGCAAYCATACCGTAAACAACAACGGGAAGAACATGCACTCCGAGGTGGGCATGGCGGCCCCCGTAAGTATTTTAGTACTCGTGATCGTGATGGTGCTCGTGATCGTGCTCGTGATCGTACTTGTGTTTCGATAGTAGGCTTGTGGTAGAATCGATATCGATCCGATGGAATTCACAGGAATGCATTCGATGGAATCCATTGGTTTTCACGAGCGATGGTTCGTTCGGTTCCTGGATCGGTGCATGAACATGGACTGCGTACATACACATACTCGAGAGCACACGGTCTTGCTCGGGTAAAAAAACAAATGGAGCAAACACCATAACAACGGAGAGGGTATGTTTCGGTGCAACACAACCTCTGGAAGCATCAGAAACTGCCRGACTGATGGATGGGTGTGGTGGAGAACGGTATTTCTTCAAACCAAGTRAAGTACCGCACGAACCAATCATCCTGGGAACGAACGAACGAACGAACGATCTGCCCGGATTCGGAAAAAACGCATCGGCTGGGATGGCCTCTGGTGGAAGAGAGGAAGCCACGAGTGTTGCGGAAAGCGACGATCGTGTTGCGTGGAACAAGCACAGCACTTTTGAATGTTGGAACGAACGATGCGGTCCATCGCTGTCAGCCAACCAATGCATCACATCCACCCGTCCATCGTTTGGTCCTACCACGAGGTCTGGGACGGGAGGAACCAGATCTCTCGATCTCTCTTTGGCACCTACAATGCCTTCCGTTTCAAACCATTTGTTGTCCTCGAGCGTCTCCTCTCGATTTGTCTACGGGACCSGACTCCCCATTCTTTCCTTTCACTGCCCATTCGTCGTTGCCGGAGCCAAATCTCACCAGGCCTGTTTGCTTCCATTTTCTTGTAACTCGCTCTCTCTCTTTCTCTAACGCCCCGTTCGCYGGGCAGTCCGAGTACCGGAAGTATCAAGAGTACGACATTGCGGTCGATCCGGAACAGGATGACAAGGCCACCGAGATCAAGCTTTGCTCGCTGGCAAAGCCCCACATGATGGCCTTTCACTGTTCCTGGTGGGGATTCTTTGTGGCCTTTTTCATTTGGTTCGCMATCTCCCCCCTCCTCAGCGAGATCCGGGAGGATCTCGGGCTCTCGGACCAGGCCATTTGGAACTCCAACATTACCAGCGTTGCCGGAACYATCTTTATGCGCATCGTCCTCGGTCCCKCCTGCGACAAGTGGGGAGCTCGAATCCCCATGGCCGTGGTACTGGTCCTGTGCTCGATACCCACCGCCCTTACGGGCTTTGTCAACTCGGGCATCGGCCTGGCCTTTTTGCGGTTGTTCATTGGCTGTGCCGGTGGAACCTTTGTCATGTGCCAGTATTGGACGTCCCGGATGTTTGCAACGGAGGTGGTGGGCACGGCCAACGCCCTCGTAGGAGGATGGGGAAACCTCGGGGGTGGCGTCACGCAGCTGGTGGTCGGAGCRGGCCTCTTTCCCCTCCTCAAGCTCTGCTTCAACGGGGACGCCACCAWGGCCTGGCGCACCGTGAGCGTCTTTCCGGCGATACTCGCCGTCTTTACGGGATACATGATCTACAAGATCGSCGACGATTGCCCSAAGGGAAACTACGCCGATCTCAAGCGCCACGGRTCGATGCAGGAGCGGTCCGCCGCCTCCTTTTTTCGACAGGGGTGCTGCAACTTTAACACCTGGATCCTCTTTGTTCAGTACGCCTGCTGCTTTGGAACCGAGCTCACCATGAACAACGCTGCGGCCCTGTACTTCAAGGACAAGTTCGACCTCAACACGGAAACCGCTGCGGCGATTGCCAGCATCTTTGGGTGGCTCAACATTTTTGCTCGTGGGTTAGGTGGATACTGCTCCGATCGGGCCAACGGCAACTGCGGGATGAGGGGAAGGCTCTGGGTCCAGACGGGATGCCTCGTCGCCGAGGGCGCCCTGGTCCTSTTCTTTGCCCAGACCCAGTCCCTTACGTCGGCCATTGTCGTCATGATTTTCTTTTCGCTCTTTGTGCAGGCCGCGGAGGGCTCTACCTACGGCATTGTTCCGTACGTCGATCCCCCCTCCACCGGTGCGATTGCCGGAATCGTCGGTGCCGGCGGAAACACCGGCGCCGTCTGCTTTAGCATCGGCTTTCGGCAGCTCGACTACAAGAACGCCTTTACCATCATGGGCTTTGCGACGCTCGGGGCCGCCTTTTTCTCGGTCTTTATCCTGGTCAAGGGCCACGCGGGCATGTTTTGTGGCAAGGACGAGCACCACCAGCAAACGGTCACCGAGGAGCTCTTTACGCCGTACAACGTTCAGGGCCGAAAGAGGGGCAATGGCTCTCTGATGCTGCCTTCGCGGTGCCCCTCGAACGACCTGGATTCCTCATCCTCCTCGTCGGATTCCTCTCGCAGCGATGGGGAAGCAGAGCACGATGGGTACCTGCAGCCGCACTCGGCGACGTCGACATCGTCGTCCTCGAGCGACCACTCTCCCCTCCAGGACTTTGGGATGATACCGATCGAGGAGGAAGACGAGGAAACCTCCAGCGAGGTTGGMGATTCGGCGGAAACAGAAGAAAAAGGCGACGGAACAACAMCGACGACACCCGCACCGAGCGCGGGGGAACCGTAGAGAATCCAGCTCCTTCTTGTTCCACCGATCGAAAGAACCATCCCAGCAGGCGGTGCTGATCACCGTACCGGGAACAGCGATCCCAGAAAGGATCGTTCGACTCTGACGAAGTGCAACCGAATCAAAGGCAATCGATTCGATCCCTCTTTTGTAGGCAGCACTCGACAGCTACCGCTACCAACCACTACGTACATTACAACATCCCACCGCGCTACACTTCACTCCAACAATTCCACAACCACCACCGCCATTGTACAGTAAACAAACAAACCAGCACTGTTCCATTCATGTTTGCGTTTCGGAAACAAACCGCCATCAGATTGCTTTCGAGACGCACAACACCAACTCTACATTTTGCAACGCAAATGCCAATTGTCGTTCGAATTTTTTATTTATTTTTTTTGTATCGATACAAATCCATAACGTTTCTACCGTTAGATCTACATTTTTATACTTTTTTCACTTCGAATMTTCTAATGGTCTACATAGATAGAAATGGTGTAAACTTCGTGGACGATGATTTCTACGAGTAACAATATCATTCAAGCGGTGAAACAAACAAAAGCGGGATCCATAATATTCCAGTGAACAGCTAGATTTCCGTTGGGTGCAACGMAATTTTTCAGCAGAACTGTATTGATGATGTGGTTGCTAACTCTGATTTTACCGGTCGGTCTYATTAAGCAGTATCGTGATTGTTGMTTGTTTCGTCTGTACACTACTCCCTACTTCCCCCCCCGGCCGCCGCTACCCCAGATGTGTGGGAAGCGTGGTAGTAAGAAGCCTTCATCATTTTCATCACAGTCTCCGCCGCTGACCACGATGGCAGCAGATCGCTGTCCTTGTTGTTGGTTGCGGCAAAGGCAACAGTACTTGCAGTGGCAGTGGTGTCCGTGCCAACTTTTTCGTCATGGGGTAACGGAAGAATGTAGCCGCCGCCAAAGGTATCTCCGGAATGTTGTTGAACGACTGCTGCTTCCCTCCCGAGACAGGAAACATTGACGTCAGGATTCCTCCTATATAGCACGGAAGAGTTGTGCCGATTAGGTACCGACGGAGCAAGCGGTGCTCTCGCAGCGGGTCGAATCGAAGAATGTTGCTGCCGATGGTGACAATGCTGATCATGTTGCGTTCGTTTTCGACGACGAAAGACGTTTCTGTCCATCGATGTGCATCTTCTAGTAGTTGCTATTGTCACACTTCTCATGGTGACTGTTGTGATTGTTTCTGAAGTCTTTGGGTCTTTACACCAAGCTGTGATGATATTACGTACTTCTATGTGATCTTTCTTTGAACGTGTAACCTAAAGGTAGCTACTATTTCTGGATTTTAGTTGCATAGACCGAAGGCATGGTTTCTACATGGATTCGTAAAAACAGTGTGTTTGTGTTGAAAAAGGTTGATACGTAAGTCAGTATTGTYTCGTTCGACTCCGAGTTTTTAGCAAGACTTCGGCTTTAGATAAGTAATGATAGAGCTTTAATGCCAATAACCGTAATCTACTTTATCGTCTTTCTTCCGTACGATACAGCAGTGCTGGCAGGAGCTGTACGTGAATCAGTTCATCAACTCCGTCAGCTCCTACTGATCCCAAGTTCGYACGTACTTCGTGGTATCGCGCACCGATGACAAACCCAAATACGAAAAGAAAAAATACTTTCTTCAGTCGTGGACCAACGATCTTGATCGTCCCTCGCTGATTCCAAGAGAAGTATTTCTGTCAACACTAGCTTTCCTACTACTGATGTCGTTTTGTCAAGTACCTCTATTGTAAACAATTCAATAGCAAGAATGAATTGTATTGCGCAATCCGTTGGTACTAGTGATGCAATGAGAGTTGAGGAATGAAAGATTGATGATTTGCACAATGAACAATCCTTCATGGGTCGTTCACTAGAGCGACTGGGTCACTCTTTCAAAGTCTTTATGAAATGCTTAATTTCCGACTCAGTTGTGATGTCTCATTCTGCTATGCTCGAATGCTTCGGATACAACGTAACATGCTTGGTAACGTTCAAGAATGTCGGATCCCTAGCATATGACTTAAAAGGATACGAYGACAATGCGATTGCCTTTTTGATGAAGCTCGCACAAGTTCCCATAGCAGCTACCAATAATTATGTCATAGGTGGACTCGTTCCAATTGTTCTAAACACGGTATTTCGCAAACCAAGAAAAATCTTATCTTCGGCAATGACAAGAGGCTTTAGTGTTATCACTGGAATTTTTTTATTTTTGCTTTGGACAGACGGCAACAACGAAATTCCTTCGTTDTTGCTAGGGGCAAAATGGAGCGGCGAGAAGGCCACTCGGATCAAGTGGGTGACTTCTGTACTCGCAGGCTGGTTCTTCTTCGCAGAAGTGCTAAGASTGAAGAAAGTATCTAAGTTTGCAAATTTTCTTTTGACGATGCTGGTTGTTGGAATAGCACTGAACTCAATATTCAATTGATGCTGGGCGGAAACGAAAGGAAGTATGAATTTGTGGTATGGAATTAGTTGTACCAAATAAAAGTATTTTGGGGTTAAAAATTCAAATTATTCTCTATGAATAATGGCCTTCTATTTGCTCAAAAGAGGATGCCACCCGGCCCAATCTTCTGGCGCTTTACTCCCCCTTGACTTCATGAAGTTTATTAAATATTTACACGGTTGATCGGACGCTTCGTTCTCATTTCCATCGATGACGTCGCCATGAAAAGAACCTTCGACTTCCTCGAGTGCTGTTGYCACCATTATTTCGTTCGCTTTCTCGAKTTTTTCAATGGCAGAAGGCCAATCCCCATCGTAATAATATTTCATTCCCGCCGAGAACTCGAGTTCGAAGTCCTCCGTTATGTGGTGTCGCATCGCCTTCAGATCAGGATCGTCGTTCCAAATGTTTGGTTCGTAACTCATTGCTTGGTGGTCGGCCTGTTCGTCGGACACGCTATACAAGAAAAAGTCCGCTGCTTGCGACCGAGCGTCGTAGGTATATATTTTTTGTATCTCGGAGCTTCCCTTCACAGTGACACGGTCTAGATTCCGCATTTTCCTCTTACCGGGCTCGCTCAGAAGCTCCTGAACGGCCTCGCTGACGAGTATAGTCACTCCATAGTGTGTGCAAGCACTCATCATGCGTGACGCCATGTTGACGTGCGGAGACAAATAGGTCGCATCGATCTTGTACTCACTGCCCACGGCACCTTCGACGGCCCATCCAGCATCCATACCAAAAACCATATCTACCGACCAATTGCCATCTCCCGAACTGAGGCGATAGTCCCGCGACCAAGCCCGCAATTGGGTATCTCTGTGGATGCCGGCAAACGATTTCAGCATCGAAATCACGGCGCGGTCGACAAACGTCGAGATTCCTGGGATTTGTTTGAGGGGCAACTGCATTGCTTCTGCCATGGCCTTCATAGCAACATCTTTCTCCCCGTGGAGTTGCGTTTTCAACCCCTCGACAAAATTCGGAGCCACCCGCGATCGATCCTGGACACTCGCACTGCGGGTAGAGATGGTTCTCGACGAGCGGGGTTTGGATCGTCGCTTGACGGTAGCTTTTTTCCCGTTGGCAGTCGAGAAGACAACGCGGGTCGCTTCCTCGAGTTTCTCCACCACCTCCTTGACAAATCCAATCTTGAATACCACAAAAAAGGACGCACCAAGATTTTTGTTGCACTGTCCTGAGTCTCCCAAAGCCCAGCGATACACATCTCCGTGCAACACTACAGCAACATCRTTGATAAGGATCATGACGTCGCCACCGAGGTTTTTTAGGGCGTGGTCAAAGTCTTTGATTTTCGCAAACGCAAAGAGAGCAAAGACGTTTTTTCCTCGCACCGTTGGATTGAAGACCTCGAAATCTCCGTTGCGCGAGGCTAGATTGGTWGAAATAATGTCGGCACCKGCCACTCCCCAGCACTTGCGCAGCAAATCTGTAATCTTGGAAACCGCCGTGACGAGCTGCTCGGTCTCGTAGGTACCCATGAAATCCTCGTCTTCGTCTTGAACACCGGACACATTGGATCCAGAATCGCTCGCATTGGAACTTTTTGTTCCGCCAAAAAGTTCGTTCTTGGTGGGAGCCAACGGATTCTTTGCGTACCGCGCCACGGTTTTGAGCATGCTTCGCAACGAGCCCAGAACCAGGTTGACCGTATCGTTCCTCAAAACCTGGAGGTAGAACATAATCGACGACACGAGCAAAAGCTCTAGTATAAAAGTAAACGTGGCGCCCYTTTCGACGATGTTGGTCTCGTCGTAGGATGCCGAAACACCCCAGGTGTTGTTGCCCTGCGTATCTCTGTAGGTCACGATGCTTCCTGTGCGCACGTCTAGTTTGTCCGCAACCTGGTCCAGYGTGGTGTAAGCCGTCCCGATTTGCCAGAGACTCCCGTAGATGCATCCGGAATCRTCGGAAGTATCCGATGAGYTGCCTGGCCAAGCCCAGGCCGGGCAATCCTCGCCGACGCGAAACACAACGTCGAAGATCCTGGTGTTATTGAATTGTTCCGCGCACCGTGCCGGTCGTATCGAGAGGTTGATCAAAACTCGGGTATCGTTTCGGGATCGCATGCCCCGGGGATTCATGGCTTTTGTCCAGTCTTGAACGGAGTCAAACAGGTATTCGCAGCCGAGGGTATAGTTCCCTCCAAARTAGTCGTCGAGAGTCCCCTGTTGCAAATTGATCTCCTGGAGAAAATCGACCATGTCCTTCCCGGRAGGGTTTATGACCTCGAMGGGATTCACGAGAAACAAAATGGGGAAGAACGCCGTTAGAAAGCAAAGCATAAACAGGATCCGGTGGGAATTCACCGTCATGAGTGCCGTTCCGATGTGCGATGCCTTTGCCTTGGTTTTCTCGCGTTCTCTCTCTTCTTGTTCTTGTTGAATGGCGGCCATCCACTCTCGATCCTCCAGATCGTAGACTCCCGCCGCGTCTCCTCCATAGGCTACCACACGCGTCGTAACGTTGGCACTGCGCTTGCGAGCAGAGGCGGCATGGACCGCGTCTTTCTCTTCGTCCTCCTCGGTGCTGCTGCTGCTCTCCACAGAGGTGCCGCTCCCGTACAGGCGATCGCCGATGTACCTGGTGGGACGGCGTTTCTTTTTCATGTTTCGGAGCCGCCGCCTGCGGACAAAGGTGATCTCGATCCAAAAGTTCCGAAAGTGCCTCACGAGGGCAAAGACGCGGAGCCGGAGGGCCCCGTAGATGATCCGGCCGTAAAAGGCTTGCCACATCGTCGGCCCCGACAGCGCAACGACCGTCGCCTCGTAGAGCGAAAAATAGTACCGATCGCTGCAGGTCTTGGAGGSGTYAAAGAGGCACAGAAAGACCGGGACAAAGACCAGGAGCGAGACCGATTCGATAAAGAGGTGGACGCCGCTGATGTACCGGGCCGTGGTGGGGGCAAAKGCCTGATCGGACCGGATCAGGGTCTGCCATTCCTCCGGGCGGACAAAGGTCTCGACGACGAGTTCCAAGACCATGACGAGCCACACCGAAAGGTTGATGTACGCGAGTGTCTGGTCGAACYGGTGCGGAATGAAGGCCAGCCGGATCTGGTCGATGAACAAATACCACAAACAGCACAAGACGATGAGGTTGACGGTCGTGATCCGGAAGCTTATCTTGTAGGGCGAAATCCCGTTCAGAAACATGGTGGCGTGGCGGATCACGGCGTTGTAGGTCGCGGTTTCCTTCACGAGGGAGACGCACTCCCACACGCAAAAGGCCGGGAAGCAAAACGCGATGCACAGGCAGTTCACGAGAGCCATCGCCAGGGCCTTTCCGGTTTCGGGGCCCCCGCTGGAATCCCGCCGCGACCTCTGGGACCGGTCCCGGTCGGTGCCGGCGCCTTCCCGCTGCCGCAGGCAGGCCTCGGCCGTCTGCCTGGCCGCCAGGAGGCCCTCCGGGGTGGGGATCGGCTGCATCGAGGAAGCGTCGCCGCGGACCTCGGTGCGGGTGTCCAGCCGCAGCAGGGTCCAGAAGACCTCGTTTTCTTCGTAGTGGGCCTGCTGGACGGTGGACAGGACGTAGAGGTAGGGCCCCTTTCGTTCCGAGGGGTAGRTTCCCTCCCCGCTGGGGTATCCGTGCTTGTTCAGGAGAAACCGGGCGTCGGGGACTTCCCCTTTCGTCGGCCGCGATGCCTCCCCGGCGGACCCGCCACCGGCGTTGGAGCTGCCCGAGTCCGAGCCCCCGTGGTGGTGGTCGTCGTCGTCGTCGTTGTCGTTGTCGTCGAAGCGCTCCGTGTTGCCCGACAATCCGGCGTGGTTGACCGACGAGGAGGCGTTCGACACGGACGACGACCCGTCGCCGTCGCCGGGGATCACCAGCGCGTGGTCCCCGTGCTTGTATCCGCGGTACACCCGTGCGGCCTGCGACATGGCCATGGCGGTGYTGTAGACCTCCCGGGATTTGGAGGAATACACGGCCTGCTGCGACCGGTCGCGATGGGAGGCCGGGCCCCTGGCGCCGGCGATTTGCTGCCCCCACTTGGTGCGGCGGCCGGGCCTCSTCYTCGGCGTCGCCTCCGGCGTCTGGGAGGCAAACAGGGCCTTGCCACCCCCCGAGGCAGCCGCGGCCGGGATGTTTGCGTGGCCGGTGMCACGCCGCCCGTTGCCCGCTCCCGGTCCGGGGCTGCCGCTCTGGACCGACGGCCTCCCCGAAGCGGCGGTCGACAAGGTTGACGCCGTACCGGAGCTGTAGCGAGATCCCGCCGTGGCGGAGCTGTAGCGAGATCCCGCCGTAGCGGTGCTGTAGCGAGATCCCGCCGTAGCGGTGCTGTAGCGAGATGCCAGGGATGCCCGAATGATGTCGGATCGTTCCTGAAGAATGTCCGTCAGTCCAGAAAGTGCTGGTCCGGGAGAATCACCGTCGTTGTTGTTGTTGTTGTTGTTGTTGCTGCTGCTGTTGTTGTTGCCGTTCCCGCTGGTGTTGCCCCGTCCGCTGCGAGCGTTCGAGCCGGCGTGGCTCGGTCCTCTGTTTCTGCCGGGGGTACCGCTCGCCCTWGCGACGATTCGGGAAGGGGATGCCGGGGGCTTTTGTCGAACACCGTGTTTCCCGGTCGGTGGTGCGGCCGACGATGCCGGCCTTGTCCCCGGGGGGAGATCCTCTCCCTCGCCCCTCTTCTGGGTGTTGTTGCTGGTGGTGGTGGCAGTGCTGCTGGCGGCAGCGGCGAGGCTGCGGCTGCTGAAATCTCCGTCGCCTTCTTCCTGGAGTGTTGGCAACAAACAATGGTTGCAGCTGCTGTTGCTGTTTCTGTTCCCATCGGAACCAGGATTGTCGAAATGGGAAAGCCCAGCGCTCTGATCTCCCCGGACTCGGGAGCCATCGGTGCCGCTGCCGCTGTTGCTGTTGCTGTCGCTGTCGCTGTTGCTGCCGTCGCTATGGCCGTCGCTATGACCATCACTATAGCGATGGCGAGGGCGAGGGCGATTGCTGCTGTTCTGCTTGGTGGTGTTCACATTTTCGTTRTTGTGGTTCTTGTCGGAACCCCGGCCGGCACCACCTCCACCGCCGCTGCCGCTCATTGTATTCTTTTATTTCGCCATTGGCGGTTTTCGGACGATGTGTTTGTTTGTCTTGTGTTATCCAGAAGCAAGTTGCTCGAGTTCTCTCTCGAAAGACGGAAAGCGCGCTGTGTTGTGATCACAAGCAACTTCTAATAGTGTAATATAGTGTAGAGCAAGAGGGTTGCTGCCGAGTTGTCGTACTGGTACAAGTAGTACTCGTAACATCAAAGACACCACGGGAAGGAAGATTTTCTTYGTTGTTTTTGAAGCCAATCATAGTACGAGTACTCGTATTTGTCCCGTGCATACCCMGGACGGTGCGGTGCCATACGTAGTACTAGTATCTACTCTACTAGTTACGATACATAACTTCGTCGTATGTACAATACCCACGGTACTCGTACTACTCTGCCACATCGATGTCCTAAGTCCTAAATCCCATAAGTGTGATACTGCCCGCTGCCCGTAGCGTTTAGTACGAGTACGTGCTACACCGTACTGTGTTTATTTTTTATTCCTGGTTTCGCTCGTGCCAGAAAGAAAGAAAATTGAAAATTATCACGCGTTCAACGCAGCAATAATCAATATCAACAAATAAGCGAGCACGCTCCCGTGTTCACTCKTGAGGCATATGTGCGAAAACAAAAATACAATACATCACWTATGTACCACATGTACCAATGCTGCCTGTAAGCGACACGTGGTTRATTGTAAAATACTATGACTGAACCACTTAGTCGAATACAAAATACCCCTCATGCGAGCTGATTCTTCTTTCGGTCCAGAATGTGTGTCATCATAAATCAGCATTGTGCAAAAAGTACAACCATTCAAATTGCCCATATTTTGAGCTTACTACTAGTAGTAGTAGTTGTTCAACAGTGAAGGAGTACTTGAGGTGTTTGATATTTTTCAAAGGACCAAATCCCAATATACAAGAACTACTACTACTACTACTACTACTACTAGCACTAGTACTTCTATGAGTTGCTCCTCCAAAAAACTGGTGAAAATACTAGTGATGATGGAAGAAGAAGAAGAACTGTTTTTTGGACACCAGCAGTGCACTGTCCTCCTCCTCCCCCCCTTTTGATTTTATTCTTGCTGCTGCTAGTAGCAATGGCTGGTGGGGATTAGACCATTTGTAGTAAGGTGCAAAAATCCAGTCCCTGATAGTAAATCCAACATTGTTGATTTGTTGATGAGTTCTTCCCTCTTGGTGATGGTGGTGGTGGAATAATCCAGCAGAGGATAAGGAGGCAGTGATTGCTGGTAAATGCTGTTATAGTAGCAGTACTACTACGAGTAGTAGTAAATAGTAGATTTGCAATCTCGTCCCTTCTTGCCATAGATAGTAGTTCCCCCCTGATGTATTCATATGCCCTTAGTTGCTTATGCTGGGGGGTGGACCAGATTCTTTATAAAACCTTCTTCCTGCTGCACTGCTTCTTATTGCTAGTATTTCCCCCCCATCACCACTCACCCACCACTAATGTGTATAAAATAGTATTGAATAGCAGGGGATGAGTGCAGGTTCTTTTTCATTATGTTGAAGATCTTCTTGTTTTACACGACTGCCAGTGTCAGCAGAGGAGGTGTCTTCTTCTGGGCTGCACCACGCTTGTTGTTGTCTGGAATCCATATGCGCGTGCCCCTTGTCCCCTACTAGGAAAACCTGGGTTATTTTTTGGTGAATGCAGTGAAAAACTAGCCGCCACTTTTTAGACACCACAAGGGTCATTTCTGGTGAAAAATGATCATCCACTTTTTTAATAGGTGAAAAAACACCCACAAAATAACCCAGGAACCCACCAATAACCCACTTTGGTAATAAGTAATTGTGTTTTGTTGTTTGAGAGGAGGCCTGACAGATTCCTGTGTTTTCAGGGATATGCATTGGTTTTTTGTGGGTTGAAAACATGGGTTATTACAAAACATGAGTTRTCTTTTGTGAAAAATAACAAATAACCCATGTTTCCAAAACATGGGTGGGTACCTGCTGTGAGCCTAAATCACGAGTAGATAGTGAATAAGCTCACTCTTTATTGTAAACATGCACTAATCATGTGACGCTGGAGAGCCTATCAATATTCACAGGTTCGATTTGGGGGATGCACGTGTGGGATCCGGAGGACCCTGGTGACACGTGGTTACTTGTTGCTACTAGTGGCTACTACTATGTTTAGTACCTCCCTAGTACACCTGGTGGGCCCTCGTCCGGAACCAACACACGGGCGTCCCCCCTTTGAAATCTAATATCAAGGGTATGATTTTGTGTTTTTTTTTCCAATAAAATAACCCATGTTTTAGAAACGTGGGTTATTTTTCACAAAAAATAACCCATGATTCTAAAACGTGGGTTATTTTTCACAAAAAATAACCCGTGTTTTTCTAGGGGAGGAATTGGAAAAGGGGGATGTGCGCGTGGGTACCGGAGGGCCCTGAACATGATAGAGAATTACTACTAGAAGAGAGCTTGCCTTTCGCAAAAAAATCCTTCCGATACGCAGATACACGTGCCGGTACCGGTACACGAGCAGCTGAAGAAGGGACGGACGGACTGGGCTTGACGCCTTCGCAATTCAGACCTACGGTATGTTGAACATCCTCATCAGAACCCCCAATGACGGATTCTCATTTTTGATTGGTCAACGTGCTTTCMTCGCTTTTCGGATTGAAAATCTTCTGTCGTTGTATCATGTCGCAGCGACATGAAAGATCGAATTTAGTAGTAGATAGGACTTCAATCATTCTATTGCTTCTACTGTAATATATGCTACACGGATTCTCCTTCTGCACCGCGAAGCTGTTTCAGATCCCAAAATTCTGAACAAGCACCACCTTTTCACGCCGGAATCCCGTAGAATCTTTACTGGTAGTGGTGAAGAACATGCTCAGTTCGAGGGATCTTTACACGCTACTAGTAGTAATTTTGTTGTTGTTGTGTTCTGCGGTACGGAAAATGTCGCTTCATGTCATTCGACTGTTCCATTCATAATACGAACCGTACACTTCTGTCATCACAGTCAAGTCAATACCTCATCGCCAAACAAAGCATCAASCATGTCCAAAGAAGAAACAGCCGTAGCGACAGCARCACCCGMCATGTGCAAAGTCGTGGCCCCTGCCACTTTGRAGGAAGGAGCAACCTTCGAAGCCACCGTCGACGGAAAAACCTTCACCGTAACCGTCCCAGCTGGTGGCGTCAAGAAAGAAGATGTGTTTGAGGTGCCTTATCCAGTCAACGAGGCCGCTGCCTTTGTGGTYCCTAGCAAGAAATTCCGTAACGGACTTTGTGATTGCTGCAGCCAGTGCTGCGCCCTCTTTATGATGGGTTGGTGCTGCTACCCCTGCTTGATGGSACAAGGTACGTTTCTTTACTTTCATTTGTTCCATTCGATTCGCRCGGACCGAAGGAACTTGTTTTTGTTGGCGAGGATATCATGCCTTTTTCGACCAAGTCTTGTYGAAGATTTATTCTCACACACGGGTTGATCTCTTCCTTCATTCCCATCCTCGATGCTTTTGAAGTCATTGAGCGCCTCAACTTTAACTGGACTGGGTGCCCACGTSTCAACGCGGACGGCAGCCCAGACACGAGCAAGAGGCCTTCCATTTGCTTGACCTACACCRTCATCACCGCAGTGATGATTATCATCGCGTCCGTTCTCAACGGCRTCTTCGCAAACAGCGAAAGCCTTCGTGGATTAGGTTCTCTCATTTATTATCCTTGGGCTTTCTACATTTTTGTTDTTTCGGTCTGCACCCGCATGAACATGCGCAAGAAGTTCGACATCGACCCTTCTTGCTGTGGTGATGGCTGCTGTGGAGATTGCCTAGCCGTCTATTGCTGTCCTTGCTGCTCCGCCATTCAAATGGCCAGTCACACCCATGAGAAGGAAACTTATAGCTACAACTGTGGCTCCAAGACCGGTCTGCCTGCAGGTGCTCCAGAGATTGTTTAAGGAAGAAATCAAAAGATCGAGGGAATGGCRTGTGCAAACACAATCAAGTAGCAACATCCACTACCTGCATGCGTTCGTGAAGTCGCGAATCCGATCTAGACGAAAAGTTGAGAAGAACACATCGGTATGCTGTGCTCACAAACAGCAGTAACAACATCTATCTCGAACGATGAATGATGAATGATGAATGATTGCTGTTTCTGGCATGCAAAGATTGGTTTTCTCCTCTTCATTTTCTTACAGTCATTTTATGTTACATGTTTAAACGAGTAATCATCCRTGAGCAAGCACTATATAATTGCGATCGAGAAAAACCAAGTGAATCTGAATAACCCTATAAATGATGATAAATTTACCTTTTTAGTCCAAATAATAACCACGAAGTAATACACGTATTTTTCTTATTTCGTTGGCATCGTTGTGCAGGATGACGGACGAGCAAGTTTCKTTTTTGCTAATCAAGTTGAAATAAGCTTAAGTGCAGAATCATGTAGTACAGTTTAATCATAGAATTACAAGATCAAGGCAATTTGTTTTGTTTCTAATTTYTGTGTTGTATTGAAAAAAGGAATGGATTGGAAAGAAGCGGCAGTTATTCTTTGTTCACGATCTGGGTTACTGCCGAGGCATTAACCGGGTCTACCACTAGATACATCGGTTCGTTGTTTGGGTTCCAGGCATCGGGGATTTGCATGACCCTTGGTGGAGACATGTTCATAGCCAGTTGTTTGTACGACTCGTAGGACAAGCCCACGGCCTTCACTACCGCCTCCGGAAGCTGCTTCGCTAACGGTCCGTCGGCGCGCAGGACTTCCGGTCGGACCAATTCCCAGTGTCCCCTGACGGGGGGGCCCTTGGACTGGGACACGCTTCCGGGGAAGCGCATCAGGGCCCGTGCGGCTTCTAATTCGTCAGACGAGCTTGGTTTTGGGGCAATTGGTTTCTGCGGATTCGCCACGATGGCAACAGCGGCACCCTGTCTCGTTTTCGCGCTTGAATCGCTGGCCGTAGGCATGTTACTGGCACCACTAACGCCATAGAGAATGCCCGACTTTTCCATGCTTGCCTTGTCGGCTGCCGCAAGAATAGAGGGGGGGTTAGATGGGGACGTGGGGGCAGTGACGGTGACCAGCGTCGAGGGAGCAGAAGCAGGAAGCGAGACGGAAGGAACGAGATTCGTGCTCTCGTTCTTTTTGGCAATTGCCGCTGCAGCAGTCTGAGCGAAGACGTCCATTACCTCTGCTGGCAAGAGCCCGGTGGACGCTGTGTGAAGTGCCGCCGCGCCAGTTCCAGCAGACTTACGTGAGTTCTTGCTTCCGTCCAATCCCACTCCGGCAGCATGGAGGTGTGAGTCRGGAGCAGTCACTGTTCCCTGACGAAGATCGTGGGGCGAATGCCGACCGTGGATGCCACTACTGTTGTTTTTGTCGCCGTCATTGTTGCCGTGACCTGTTATGAGACCGAGTGCAGCGTTGCGGATTGCGTCCCGGACGGCATCGTTGCTAACGTTGGAAGCGTTGCCCAAGACCGCCCGTTCACGCTCTAGTCGTTCTCTCTCTTCCAAGGCCATACGGAGCAAGAACTGCTGCTGCTGATCTGTGTGTGTCAACGTTTGCTTTTGCTGTTGTTCTCTAAGCCACAATCGCTCGATGTCGRTCAGCTGAGACATCAACAATTCTTTCTTATCGGAGGACGCCAGCGTAGCAGGCGCAGGAGCATTGCGTCCCAAGTAATTGTGGTGGTCGATTGGAATTTTCCCCGTTGATATTGACTCTTCTGAGATTCTGCGTAGCTCTTCCGGCGTGATCTTGAAATTGTTGTTGGAGCTATCATTGCTGTTGGCAATGGTACGATTGCCAGAATTGATAGCAGTGTTGGTTGGCATGGCTCCGGAGGATCGAAATGCATTGTCGAGATCCTGAAGCAGGGATGGAAGGTTTATTGCCTGTTTTTCGCCCTGTCCAGATGCCCCGGTGGTCGAAAACTGTCCGTGCGCAGTTGTTGGTGCTCCCACTAGGTGGCGGTGGTGTTGATTATTCAACAGACCCGCGACAGTGGTGGCCGTCGACTGTTCGATAAGTCTCTTCGTCGCCGCCTCGACTTCAYCCTCCCGAAGCCTGGCCTGAGCATCTTTCTTGGCTTGCTCCTGGGCCTCGACGAAGCGTTTCCGTCGCTYGAGGAGGGCTAGCTCCGCCCGGCGGAGTTCWCTGGCGGCTTCGGATACGGGGTCGTGGACCAGRGGAATTTTTGAGASAGACGAGGGAGGCARCGACGACGCAGGGGATTCCGAAGAGGGCGCTTTCCGCTTCGCTTCGTTGTAGTTGACCCCTCCGAGCATTGAKGGGGGAGGGTTCAACGCGGCAGATACCGCGGCCGTGTGGGCGATTTCGGAAGAGGYGGAAGCGGCCGCTCCGCCTRCCACGGGGGATGCGTTGMGGTTGGCCCYCGACGCGGTCCGCGCCGCCAAAATGGAGGACAGCAGCTGTTSCTCCTTTAATTGGTTGAGTTGGAGTGTGAGCTGCCGATGGCGCTCCTCGTCCTGCTGCTGCTGTATCTGCTGCTGCTTGACCTGCGCCAGCACCGATGATTCCTGAGAGAATCCACCAAGGGCGTGAGCCGAATAAGGAGAAGGCTCGCGTCCTTGAGGGAGGAGGTATGTTTGTTGCTGTGAGAAACGGGCATCGTGGAAGGCCGCGGGGGATGGACCCCCCAACGGTTGATGCTGGTGGTGTATCAGGTGGTTCTTGAGCAGCAGACYTTGGTTTTGTATCTGCTGGTCTTGCTTGATTACTGCCTCTGCCGCCTTGATTCGGTCGTCGGTGGCGGTGGACGACGAAATTTTCGAGGGGCGTGGGAAACGCTTGGAGGAACCACTTCCACTACTGCCGTCGCTGCTGATGCTGCTATTGCTGCTGCTTCCGCTGCGATCCTTTCCGCTTTCCTGTTGCTTGGACTTTCCATCCCGGGTCATTTTGTTGCACAAGTTCATCTTGTCTCGGCGAAASAGCTTGTGCCTCCACTTCCCCCGATAACAGTCCCTCTTGGGCTTGGAATCYCGGTTGGGGTCATCCTTTGGATTCGGCATGGAGCGTTGGAATCCATAGGCCTGGAGCTGCCTAAGAAAACTCTTGTACTTGGACATGTTGAAGTAYTTTTCGAGGATAGGGATGACGCTCTCTCGATCATCTGTGGGCATGTGGGGCATGTCATCATTTTACACACCGTGTAGGGACCAAAGAACGAAAGCTGTGAAGTTAGMGAAGGAAAAATAATGACAGCTAGTCCTTGCACTTGGTTGCATGAAGGAAGTGATTGGTACAAGAGCTGTTGATCCAACAATTTGATGCAATGCAAAATCCATCAACAGAATTCAGAACCAAAAAAAACTCACGGATTTGAAAGGCCAGTCCATCGTCCACCCAGCTAATGATGTCGCTATAGCCACATCGGTCGGCGTCATCCAGGATCCTCCAGAGCTTGCTCGGGAAGAGGTGTTCGATGAAGTAGAGCGATTGCGAGAGGGGTGGACCCGAGCTTTTCGCGTTCGCATCCGAAGACGAGGAAGGATCGGGAGTGTCCGTCATCTCTGTGTCGTCGTCGGTGCCGTCTAGGTAGACTTWAGAAATTTAAACCGGTAGGTGGAGACCCGTGTGAGTTGTGATGTAAGAAAGCGCTTTTGTTTCGTTTGTTGGTTTCACTACTTCGTTCTGTGTTGCGATGCGGTGCGGTGCGACACAATTTATTTSAAAGGACGAGAAGAGGCGGAGGAGGATTAGAATTGGAGGGGAAAGAAATCAAGCAGAGAAAGGGCAGCACCAACACCGATCGCATCCGTTGGTCTCGATTGTTGAGACACACTWGTGCTGTATAGATCCCAGTTCACTGTTTATTGCAGAGAGATTAGATTGACACTTGCCTACAACAAAAAGTCTTCGCTGCTATTAATAATGGCTGTTGAATCCTCTTGTTGCGTGTGTGCGAAGGATTGATGTATGTGTGTGTCACTTGGCACTTTGGGGCAGAAATAATGAATCAAATCGATGCGTCGGTGTAAAAGTTGTGGTAGTTAYGGTAAGGGAACAACGAACAAACCAACAGAAAAGACCCTCTGAAGAAACGGAAGTTCAGAAAGTATGTGCAACTACGTTATTTATGATCCTACGCGAAGTGCTCGTCTTCGGGATCAGATACGTACTGTGCGCGTGGTACACAATAATATTACTATTACTTCATACTTATCGAAAATACCGTGGCGAGAATATCACACTSGAGAAAAAGTACGGCGTACTTTTTTGAAAAGAAAGAATGCGATCGAACACGTACCGTACCGTAAAATAACATTCATTGGCGACGTTCGCGAATCATTGTCCGTAGTGATGCAAGTATGAAATCAACTTTCATTCTTCATAGAGTTTGGGAAGATTGTACTCCTGGGGACAGTACACACTTACAGAAAACCAATAAGCGATCAACCGCCATAAGCGAAGCCWTAGATGAGACACACATCTTTCCACCAAATCCTACAGTGAAAGAGCGTTTGGTTCAGTGACGCGCATAAAAAATACATGCCTTTCTTTCTGTTTTTAAAGTTTTTTCTACGCCACTTCACTGACGGCGACGGCCAGGAGGAACAAAGAAGTGAAGTTCCCGATGTTCGTGGCGTGTGCTTCTTGAAGTTTTGAATTGACTCGCGACGTTTCCGGGGTGGCACGAGTAAATCATTCGATGTCATTGTCGTTCGTTAGGGTTCCGTTGTCTCTGACATACGTGTATCTTCTTCTAATGAATACATCCATTATTGAATGATAACGGATGGTGAGCTGACAACCATTTAGGCATCAACTTCACTTAACAACAATATATTCTTTTTCTAGGTGAAGAAGAATATTTATTTTCGAAGCATTCCCTGAACCATAATTGAACACACTTATTGACTTTTTGATTCCAATCCTTCTTTTTTTGCAATTAATCTTCGTGAAATTCTGATCGTTGCATAATACGAATTATTTAAAGGGACTGAAAGTGTGCTAGTTACAGGACAACGTTTGGTATCGGTATGAAAATGGAATGCAGTAATCGATCGATGACAAATCGCAGATCTGACTCGACGAWTCGGCATTCTGGAAAAAACTTCATCAGAATTCACGGTAGTTTGCCATCGCGAAGGAACGCTYCCGTGCAGGTTTTCCATGAGAACTTCCGTCCGGACAACCTCCACCAAAAGAATTTATCGGAATCAATAGAAAAAACTGACTAAAACTTACGCAAGGCATGTTTTTAGACGAAAAGGACGAGAAGACGAAGACGATGGCATCGGCACCGGCACCGGYACTGCCAATGTAATTTCGGCCAAGATATTGCACAGCGGTAGTCGCATCAAGAGTACTGGAACAAGCCTACCGCAGGTGACCGATGATCTTTAACCTTCTCTCGCCGTTGCCGCCGGCGGAATTTTGGGAAGAACAGTTCGTTCGCGKCTTTCTCCTCGGCACGGTAATCCTTTACTGTAATTACTACTGTCAAATAGTAGGCTACTGTCAGTAAGAAGTAGTACTCGTACTGCATACAACCATGGTGAAACTGGTATATCCATCGGCATCAAATCTTCAAATCTTCTGCGGGTGTAACATAGAGTGTAGTAGTCACCCCCTAGGAGACGATCACCCCATTTCAGCCAATATGAATTCATTCTTGTTGATACTACTACTACTACTAGCCCTAGTACTAATACTACCAATAGAAAGTAGTATGAAAGCACAAGAAGAGCAAGAAAGTTTTTCTTTGCACTGGTATAATTCTTCTTGTTTTGTTGCTGTTCATTTTACTATTATTGCTATTACATGTAGTAGTCGTAGTAGTACTACTAGTACTACTACTACTAGTACTAATATCAGTCCAACCAATCACACCAGTAGTACTTCTTGTTGTGGCAACACTTCTTTTACTAGTAGTACTAGTAGTAGTAGTTAGTAGTGCTACTAGTAATAAAAATACTAGTAGTATTAATACTCCATGATGAAAATCACTACTTCTTGTAGTAGAAGGAGTAATGATGTTACTAGTATTAGCGACTAAAGTACTTCCAATTGTAGATCATTTCCTGGGTTCTTCTTGGGTCTCCTTAACGATTCCTCAACCCATGAAATTAGTTGCGATGAAGTATTTTTTTTTCTATTGCATGGAAAAACAAACCCATGACACACAACACTACCGCACGGTACGAGTTTAATTTGAGTAAAATTACACCTAGAATTTTGGCCCACTACTACTGTAACTTCAGCACACTAGTAGTTCTAAGCCACCAGAGCATCCTTAAGCATCCCAATGACCTGGATCACTAAGTAATTGTATCATCTTGGTCTGGGCGCTTAGTCTGGTGTTCTTAAGTTTTTTTTTGATAGAGTTCTGGCCTATTTTCTAACCAGCAGGGGGTCTTGTAAACTGGCCAATTTTGGCCATACCGGCTGTTAATGGTGAATTGCCTCCCTCCAGGCCCCTAGTAATTGTGTAACAATGACACACAGCACTCTTCTTAACACTATGACCGGCGAGCATATCCCCAAAGGGGATCTCATTTGAGCCGGTTCTTGAGCACTTTTTAATGGCCTCATAAAACATTGTTTTGATCATCTTCAAAGCAACCGATTAAGCAACCGATACATCAAAAAACTCGGAATTTCCCCCCCCCCTCAGTAAGTACTCAGTCTACGTACTTAAAACATGTATGTATAATTAGTACTGTCGTACTAAATCTACTTACTTACGTGCGTATGTAGGATTACTACTGCGTTACTGAAACTGTGTACATAGGTCCGTGAATAAAGGATTCAGCAGTAAGAATCCCCTTTGAGCTGTTATACTGTACTAATTCTTTGTTTCCTATTGCACCTCTTCATCCTACTAGTATGTCTATTATGTAGTTTAAAGAAAAAATCATGGCTCCTGCTCATAGCAAAATTGTTAGTTCTAAGCATAAGCGTACTACCCGTTTGAGTACAAAAAAGAAGATTGCTTCACGTACTAGTAGTAGTAGTAGTAGTAGTAGTAGTAGTACCTCGTACTCCACCGTGATTCCATGTCTCTCACCTCATGAGGAACTCAAACGCAAGGTGGAATAAGCTGCAGCAGATCTCATTGTTAATCCATGTGTCCTTACTGTTGCACAAGCTATGAAGGCTGTTGATTTTGAAAAGTTTGAAGCTCATAAAGCCTCAATGCAAATGAGGGTCCGAAGACTTGTAACCAAAATGAGAGAGGAAAAGGCTGAAGCTGAGGCTAAAAAAGTTCCTCCTTACACTCCCTCTGTTGGAAAGTGCAATGTTCTTGACACCGGAGAAGTTACTAGTACAACCTGTGAAACACGTGCAGTTTTGAAAGTTACACCAGGAGGTGCAACTCCCATGACTGGTACTGCTTCTGGTGGTAGTGGTACTACTACTAGTACTACTCCTGAGAACAGTGATTCTTCTCCCCACAGTGATGGCTGGTGGTTCAAATGGTAATGATCCAATCAGCAAGAAGAAGTCCAAGTTGAAAGGCATTGAGGACACCAGAGACAGTGCCAGAGCTGCTCAAGTTGAACATGTCAACAAGAAAATTAGGCTTGAAAATATAGCCCGTGCCCACATTAAAGCAACCACCCTCTATCAGGAAGCAAAAAATGATCCTGAAGGAAAGGGAAGAAGTGCAGCTTCCATTGTCAAAGCTGTAAATTCTCAATATGGTACTGTCCTTAACCACCGAACAGTGTTGAGGTATGTTAGGGAGGGCAATGCTGGCATTGCACCTGTCAGAAAGGGACCTCGGCCAGGCAATATCTCTCCTGAAACAATGGATTTGGTTGTCACCGCGTTTGAGACATTTGTTCAGCTCTGCCAGGAAAATGGTGATGCCCCAGGGACTGATCGTGCACCTCTTACTCGTCAACTCAATGCCACAATTGGGTTGCCACCATCATCAGTGCAGTCCAGTTTTTATTACTCTGTAGTAAATATGACCACCATAAATCTGAAGGCACATGTGTTGAACTGAGTTGAAGAGAGAAGAGCCCGTTGGACAACCAGAACAAACTTGAAACTGTGGTTCCAAAATTGGAAAACTGACCTGGTTGAACTTGGATTTGCATCAAAAGGTGGAGAATATGGAATTCAGATTACAGAAGAACAGACACGAAGAATTATCAACCTTGATGAATCCTGTTTATCCTTGGATGGACCCAATGGGTGGAGGGGAGGACGACCTTCAGTCAGTTTAATAGATCCAAATATTCCTTCAATTGGTTGTTGTGTCACCAAGTCTTCCGTTACCATAACTTTCATTGCTGGTAGCAATGCGTATGGTGAATCCCTCCCACCTCACTTTCAATTTGGAACCAGAGCCAAAACTGAAGAACGAATGAAACTGAAGATGGAAACAATAGCATATTGTAAAAAGGTTAGAGCTTCATATGGATTCCATGATTGGTMAGGTGAAGACAACTGTTCAACRTTYCCWGTGACAGTGGGTATGAATGACAAAGGSGGAATGGATGATGCTGAATTTTCAAAGTATCTCTTCAATAGTATCGTACCTTTATATCCAGATGCTGAAGATTCAAATGGAAAGAGAGTAATGATCAAAATTGACTCAGGTCCTGGGAGGTTAAATATTGACATGCTAGTCAGCAAGCTGCAAGCCCATGGCTTCATCTTGTATCCATGCATTCCCAACACCACTGCTGTTTCACAAGAGACAGATGTTTCATATGGCATTTTCAAAAGCAAGTTCAGAAGTAATCTCAAAAAGCTCACTGATGATCGTTTGAGGAAAAAGCAAACAGTGTCCTTCACACCTTCCATTGTAGGGCTGTTAGTGTTTGGTGGTACTGATAGGGTCAGTGGATGCAGTGGATATGTTGTTGACAGTTTTGCAGCTGCTTTCTCCAGAGAGAAGCATTTGGAGGCATGGCAAAAGGTCAGAGCTGTGCCTTGTAGTATGGCTTGTTTGAACTCAAAACTTGTTCATCATGACTGTGTTGAAGACCAAATGCCACAAAGTACCAGGACATGGAAGAGCAGAATAACCTTGCATGTCGACTTCTTGATTCAAAAGGACAATATGATGGCCGTTATCTGAGAGCCAAGT